TAACCAAGCTTACTATACTCCTTCCTCTGCCTTTGGCTGGGACACAGGAATGGTTGTGATGCCCAAGCTTGAACAGTGACTAGCACTGAGCAGGTCAACAGAGGAAGGCCTTATGATTTATATCTAAAATGTGAACAGAAGGACGTCCTTCCTAAATGCTTTCATTATCTTACATCTCTGTATTAGTTACCTGTTGCTGCATAACAAACTACCCCAGGACTCAGTGGCCTAAAACATTTCAGTTTCTGCAGGTTGAAAGTGAAAGTTGCTGTTGTGTCCGACTCTGCAAATTCTCCAGGCCAGAATACTGGCGTGGGTAGCCTTTCTCTTCTCCAGGGCATCTTCCCAACCCAGGGATCGAACTCAGGTCTACCTGCATTGCAGGTGGATTCTTTACCAGTTGAGTCACCAGGCAAGCCCAAGAATACTGCAGTGGGTACCTATCCCTTCTCCAGGGGATCTTCCGGACTCAGCAATCAAACTGGGATCTCCTGCAGTGCAGGGGGATTCTTCACCAACTGAGCTATCAGGGAAGCCCTTCTTCAGGTTAAGAATTAGCAAGGATTAGCCAGGTGACTTTGCATCATTTCTCGCTGGGTTGCAACTAAGGTGTTGGATCTGCTTCCAAGCTCAGTGGTTGTCTGTAGGACTCAGCTTCTACAGGTGGTTGGGCCAAGGGCCCAAGTTCCTCGCTAGCTGAGGGCCTCTCCTAAGGGCTATTCACCTGGCAGCTTGCTTCCCCAGAGCAAGGGTTCCAAGAGGGAGCAAGAGAAGGTGCATAGACAGAAGCCATGGCCCCTTTGTAACCAAAAAGTGACACCCTGTTACTTTTGAATAGTCACAAAGTCCAGCCCACATTAAAGGTGAGGGAATTGTGTAAGTGCTTGAGTAATAGGTAAGAATCATTGGGGTCCTTTAAAAAGTTGTCTCAGTTATTAAAAACTACTTTTCTGCTGAAATGGGAATTTACCAGAATGCCTTATTGCAACACAGATTATATTCTAGTAACTTTACATGCTGATGGATAACATTTGTTTTGTAATAAATTGCTGAAGATGAAGGGCCCTAACCCTCAAATTCCTCCCACTTTTGCTATCCAACCTCAAGGATTTATAGTAAGGTCCTCCAATTTCCAACACTGATCATACTTTCCTCCATATTTAATAAATCCAAAGCAACCAATGAAATGTCTTAAGGGCACAACTTCTAAGAACATAGCTCAAATTGTAGGCAGCTGATACTTTCATAACACAGTCCAGTTCTGCCAACTGAGCAAGGCTTGTTATTGTTACAGTATTAAAATGGGCAACAGCTAGACGTGATTAAGGACAAAAGAGAAGATTATGATAAAAGAGTGAACTTGGTAGGATATAAAGCCAGATAATCTCTGTATGGAAAACCCTCAGTCAGTAACAGCAGTAGGTACTAATGTAAACTTGCTTAGTTAAAGCTTCTAAACACATGATCTCAAGTTTTCTGGTTTTTTAACTGGGATGTTTCTGATATCATAAGGAGGTGGTGTGGGTTAATATTTGTGCAACGACTTAAAGGACAAATACATATCATCTAAGTAGTTTTTGAATTTCACCTCTGGAACAGCTTAATGGTTTCCCTGTGGATACTCAGGGCTGTAACTCCAACTCAGTTTGATGGTTCTTTTGAGTCAGCTTAACACAAGACTTAGAGGGACTGCCTACAATTGTCAGTCTGATGAACATACTGGTTTGAGGAATTTCAATTTAATTTTTGGTTGTTTTTTAAACAGGTTACATTCTGGTCTATACTACAATACAAACACACTGCATATACCTTAAAGCACAATTCAATTAAAACAAAATAATTAAGCAGTTTACGTAGAGTTTAGGGCTAGACAAGGGCTTTATGAAGAAACATTATCACAAAAATGAAAGGCAAATTAAAAACTGGAAAATGTGACAGAAAAATGGCAAACACGTTACCAAATCATCAAACAGGGAAGCATGCCAAAAGAAAAGTTGGGTAACTTGGGAAAGGACCAAAAAAAAGGCCGATAAAACCTATGAAACAAGCTTCTGGCTGTACTAGTCATCCAATATGCAAATTAAAACAAGATACTCCCCTTTTGGGGCAATCAAACTGGCTATTAGGAATAAAATGAGTAAGCTTACAACAGGCTCATTCAAACACTGTTGCTAACCACAAAGCAGTCCAACTGTTGTTCTCCACTTAAGTTAGGCAACATTTACTAAAAGCCTTAAACATGTGCTTACTCTCTGCCCCAGCCAATCCATTTCTAAGAATTTATACTGAGGGGTGAGAGACAAGTATATCAAAACCTGTGTATTCCAGTGCCTTGAGGTTCACAAAATTTTGATACTTTGCACTTTGTGATCTGGAGAGAGAGAGAGAGAGAGAAAAGAACCCACAAATAGGAAAAATGGTGCTGAGTTATAGGGAATAACAATTTTCTTAGAATTTTCCAAAATGTACTTTGTTAATCCCATCACACCTCCAATTTAACAGAAGCAAAGCTACAAACCCCACAAAATGACATGTGTGCAAGTTATACAGTTTCATGGTATATTTAAGTTCAAAAAGCAACTCAACCAATCTGTTCCTCCATTCTGAAGCTAGGTCAGATCAACTTGGGCAACAAACAGAAATCTTCTGGAAACATGTAGGTTATTAAATAATTTTATTGTACTGCATTTACAAAGAAAACAGACAATGCACCCAGTAGAAAGAATAAAAATGTGTTTGGGGTTTTATTTTTTTACTGAGAGCAAATAGAAATCCTTTAGTGAGATCCTGGCAATTTGACAGTAAGTTCAATAAAGGTACACGGGATACTTGGAAGATCAAATTCTACAGCTGCCTCTTTCTACGGCTTTGAATTCATCTGGCTCCTTAAGAGATGGGGGAAAAGCCCTTATTTGGTGGGAAAACATTTCCAAGATGCAGTTACAGGTTCTCGCATTACATTTCTCTTCATGTTAGCTGTTAAAACAGGGCCTTCTATTTGTGTATGTTTTGCTTAGTTCACCTTAATGTCATCACCAGAATTCCTATCATTCCACAATTGTGATTTTACAGTGTAGCAAAGAATTCAGTTCTAGTCTGGTATTGCTTTAGATGTATATGTCGCTGAAAACCAAAAGTGGATTAGGACTGCTGAAGGATTTTCCCTGCCGTTGTTTGATACAATCTATTTTCTTTATTCTTGATAGGTGCATAGACAGCCTCACTTACACTTCTTTCTACAGGAACATGTCTGATTTCAGGATTACCATCAGGGACCCGATGCACTGGCTGGCCCGTCACTCAGGGCAGTACGTTTGTGAGTAAATGGATGCGTAACTGCACCACTTGGCTGGCCGGTTACTCAGGGTAACACGTCTGTGAGTGAATGGATGCGTAACTGCACCGCTTTTCCTTTGCCTTTGTTGGTAAATGACAGAACCTAGATTCCAATTTTCTGTACAGAAAGTTGGCCACCCAGCAGTCTCATCGCTGCTTTGTTAGCGGAGCCTTGAGGTGCACCTCCTTGGCTTTCTGTAAATCAGTCCTGTAGCCACTTCTGGAGAATGCTGAATCCCCAAGGCCCACTTGGTCCATGCAGAAGCAGCAGCTATGACCCCAATCCTGCCCCTCTTTAGCTTTTCAATATGACCCGAGGAATATATGTAATGTGTAGGGCAAGTCTAGGAGAGGCTCATTCTAAAATAAGATTCACAAAGCCTTTTCTCATTAAAAAAAAAAAAAAGCCTCAAGTACATTTCAATCATCTCAAAATTTAAAACTTACATTATACAAGGAAATAGCAGCAGAGAATGGCTAATCTTAAACCAATCGAGAAAGAAAAATAATAAAAACAAACACAACCCTCAAAATAAACAACAATGAAAAAAGTGCCATCCCACCCCCTCCCCTTGGTTCTTGTATCCCGGGATTTCGTTTAAGACCTGAAGCCTCTGAGAAAATGAGAAGGGCAAAGCCATAAGGGAAACTGCTTCACGGCTGAATTCTGGATGAGGTAAAGCAAAGGCCCTAAATAAAAATTGGGGACTGTTTGTAAAAAAAAAACCAAGAACTCTAGGATAGTTTCTTCTCAGATGGGACAAACCTCTGAAACTTAGTTCTCTTTTCTAGAGTCATCCTGAATTAATTATGGGGCAATAAACTCAAGTGCAGTGAGTAAAGTGCCAGCCAGGGATTTAAAAAAAAGCAAAAAACAAACAGCCAATCAAAGTAATTCTGCTATTAGGGTACAGAAAAGACACAGGAAAGGACTGTTTGCAGAACATATGTGGTTCTCAAGAAATTACTAGTCAATGGTTCCAGTTTTGTTTCCATCAAAAATCAGACTGAAGATTCGAGGAACTAAGGGTTATTAAAAGATGAAAGGAATTTGACAGTGCTTTGAACAGTGATAAATGTTACCTAAATTTGGTGTTTATACAGATCATTTAAAAACATAGTAGCTTAAAAGTCGCAGAAAGAAATGTGAAGATAGAGAACAACAGAAACAATCCAGGAAGATGATGCAGCCTGGATACAGCAAGTTTAATGTCTCTGCTGTACACAGAAGTAACACCCTTTCCCCTTCTCATCCTTATGCTGGCAATAGGATATGCACTAGAATATTTGACTCTTAGAGTCAGTGAATAAAAGGATGAGCTCATACATCTTCACAGCTCTTTTTAAAAGTATGCTTATAATTTAAAGGATGTCCTAATGGAAAGACAAGGGTACAGGGTGTGAGGCTGTTTCACATTTTAGTCCATTAGTCTTTGGCAGAGCCCAATCAAGGCCAAATTCACCTAGGATGCCCAATGCTGTGGGAGGATCTCCACAGGGTCAAGTAAGCAAACCCAAATGAACACGTTGGATTAAACAAAAGACACAAAACACCCTAGAAACCCTTGAAGGCAGAGCTTCACCCTGAAAAAGGAAGGGGGCAATGCTTGGAGGGGAGGGGTGGAGGGCCAGCCTGTGCTCTCTGCTGCGGTGCTGGACTGGGCTTAAGAGTTGAGCCAAGGGTGCCGGAGACACTCAGCGGCAGTGGCCCTCTTCTCGGGGATCAGCTCCAACATGGGCAGTAAGAAATCTGTGAAGCCAGCTGCCTCTTCCTGAGACCACTCATACTTCTCCACTAGAACCTCAAAAAGGCCCCAGGGTTTCAGCTTCGTGATGTGTTTCAGGTCACCTACGGTAAAGACAGTACAAAGAAACTGACCAACACTGGTAAGTGACACTGTTCTGTGGCAATCCAGGCACTAATCCAGGCAGTTTATCAAGAATCAAACTGCTTTCAGAATCTAATCCTTCTCCATTCATAAAGCACCTCTCTCATCTAATGCATTCCTTGGAAAGAAGTGTCTCCATTTTTCATGAGGGCCTAAAAATTTAAAACAGTATTTTCATCCACCATTCTAGGATTTTTCATCCTGATCAAGTTCGATAGGCCTGTCAGGAACTAGGTATTCACTAAACTGAAAATTAAAAGCCAATATACTCAGCATGGTCTCATGGTATTCAGAGGCAATTTATTACCACATACTAAGAATAATTTGCTTGTACTCTATTTTTGGCTCAATAATCTAGTAAATGTTGTTTCAAAATAAGGCAGTAATTAAAAAACAAGAGCTAAAAACCACATCCAACATGTATGAAAGTAACAAAACTAAAAAAAACAAATTTTCAGATACAGCTGCATCACATTGTACCATTTTAGAATGCCTCCTCGAAACAATTTTTTTTTTTTTAAAGATAGTCAATTATCAGTGACTTACTAAGGTTAAAGCTGCTTTAATTTTTTTTCTTATGTAATGCAATTATTTGAAGTCTCTTCTGTGGACAGTGAGTGCCTGATTACCTACTTGGTACACATATGCCGTTAACCTGACTTTGCACACAAGGAACAACTCTCAGGAAGCACTTCACCATTTTCTTGCCCCAAATAGAAACATTAAGAAATGCTTGCTCTCAAGTGCTGACAAAAAAAGATTTTCCTCAGCACAAGTGTAGAGATTTTGAGGAAAAAGGGAACCATGACAAAAAGGGAAAAAAGGTTAGACAGTTTTCCAGGCCCTTGTAGGATCAGGTTTTCACATTTCAGTATTTGGAATGCATAAGAAATACATATTTAAATATGCCAACATAATATTATTATCCAGTAAAAAATTTAAGGTGAATTTTATCTTTGTTTTCCTTACTAATAAATGATAACATAAACTTATGAAATTCAAAGTACAAAGTTAATTAATTCTACTTGTCTTTTGATAGAACTGTCTCAGCAAAATCTACCCATTTTTCAGAAGTGCTACAGTAGGAGTAATCAACGAACTACGTGCCAGCTACTGATTTAATATGAGTAATCCCCATTGAGAAAGCAGGAGACTTGAGTTTAGGTCAAAGACCGCATCCGTAGAAGAGCAGGTGGAATCTGAACCCAGACGGCCTGGCTCCAGTCTCTGCTAAGTCACAGCTCTGCCGTCAAGGCAGAAGTGCCCTTCTTGAGGTGCTGGGGACACTGTACCCAGCAGTACTTACCTCTTCACTGTCAAACACTTTTGTCCCCTCAATGTCTGGGAACAAACACACTTCTTTTACCTTTTTTGGTGAAAAATTCCTTGGAATATTTTCCTGCCACAATGAGCTTGCGAGGCACCTTCCCCAGAAGTTCTATGATCAATGCAATGTGATCTGTATGTTTCAAACATTTCAAGAGGGGGGAAAAAGACATACATAACAGGAATAACAAATGTAGTTCTAAACACTGGCAGAAAGAGTAGCATGCACACCTCTTTGTAAAGCATTTCAGCTTGCTTTCTTTCCTAAATGAGAAGAGGACTCTATCCATCTAATGGAGAATCCAGAAAACCATTACAAATCAGGTAACCACTCCAGTGGGACTTGAGTGGTAACTAAAAACCATCTTGGTGTGAATGCTCTGCTTCCTGAAGCTGCATCCCTGGGACCTAGATGAAAACTCATGTTAACAATACTACCTCTGCGATTGAAGAAGTCCTGTGAATATTTCCCACTGAGGGCAAAGCGTCTTGGAATTCTGCCTATCAGCTCTATAATGTGCGCAATGTGGTCTAAAATAGAAGGGTAAGAAGAACAGGATCAAGGATAAGCTGTAAGAGAGGTTTTTCTATGAATAGCTTTTTCAAGAACTAGCTACTTAAAAGTAATTACAAATAAAACCCACGATACTCAAGGGAAGACTGGGAAGGCCAAGAATTATTTCAGGTGATTGATCACCTATAGTTAGCAAGTCCCATTCTAAAGTTTGGAGGCTTATCTATTTTATTTCTATTTTGTCTACATGTCTAGGTTCAGGTGGGTTTTACAAGTAAGGTAAAAAGTGTATCAATATACTTCACACATTCTAGGATAGGTACTGATAACATATTTATAACAGTGCTCAATAGGGCTTTGTGGGAAATAATATCACTATTTAAGAACGTTCATGACAAAGCACTCACATATGATTAAGTTTTCACAATCACCTTGTAGAACAGGCCAAAAATTAACAAATTAATACATTTTAAAATTGAGAAAATAAAACCTCAGGGAGAAGGGACTACTTGATCTACATAGCTAAGGAGAGCTAGAGCTCAGATGAAAACCCCTATCTCATCATGTCTTGTCCAGAGGGTTTTTGTAATTTAATAAATCAGATTTTTAAAGAAAAAATGAGCACCAACATTTAAAGCATGGCTATTACACTTGACTACACTTGGCCCTAAAGTCACGCAGTGCCCTGTAACTGTCACAGCAGGAATGCGGTCGTGAGCACCGCTAGGCAGATGCGCAGTCTGCCGCCAGGGGACGAGCTTGGACTAGCCAGCATCCACACCTGCAGACAGCTCTACTACCTCTTCCTGCAGGTGACAGAAAATAAACACACGAAGAGATTTTTAAAAATGAGGGCTCCTAGCCACAAAACAGTTTTAAAAAGGACTTTAATCTTGCAGTTATAGAATCAAGCTCAAAAGGAATCACTTAAAACTTCTAATAATGTATCTTAGAGGGGAATAATATGCTAGGGACATTAACATATCTGGGAATTTGGGAAGGTTTCAGGTGCTTCCTATTTTACATGTAAAGGACTCACTGGTGTCATTTAAAAGCAATTTTATATTCATGAACTCACTATAAGCTCTGGGCAGTCTGACTGAATTTATGATCTGGTAACAAGTATTTCACTGACATGAAATTTTTGCCAATTTTAGGCAGGATCTGCAAATAAATATCTTTGTATAAATCAATTATAAATAAGACTATAATTTGTCTTACTGTAAATTTCCAAGTAAAATATTGGTTCTTTTAATATTTTTCTTATACTAAGGAATTATTTTTCCCTTGAAATCATTACATTACTTTTAGTTGCAGCAACCTACCTCTGGTTTATCAATTAATCATAGGATTAATATACCTGACAGGCAAAATGATTAAGTATTATTCTAAGGTTTAGGGCTGTGGAATGTCACTAATAGCAGAAGACATGCTACTCAGACCCCAGTCCTACCATGACTCCTAACTGTGCTTACACTAGCCAGCATAAGCGTTTACTTTTTCCTGCTCCTACAGGTCAAAGAGTAGTTAAGTACTCTGAGGTTTTATCTAGGACTATTAGTATTGACTGGAACAGCAGGGAGTAAGCTATGAACTAAATATCTAGGGTTCTCTCATGTCTCTTGAGACTTTCATTTTCATTTCACTTTTCAGGTTTGTTTAGCATAATACCCCATACAATATAATTCTAGCCACTATGAGGTTTGTACCACAGATTATTTATAGGGAAGCTAAGGAAATAAAGAAAAAAATTAATTACCCTTACAAACAGATACAGAGGGCTTTCTTTCTTGTGCCGTGCTGTGCAGCGCAACACATGGGATCTTAACTCCCTGACCAGGGATTGACCTGAGCATCGGGAGTGTGAAGTCTTAACCACTGGACCACCAGGGGAGTCCCTAGTAGGGCATTTCTGAAACAGTGTAAGTCTATGCCGCCAAACTTACAATCCAGAAAAGAAGCAAGCAGATAACAGGGAAAACCAAGTGTCTACAGAGGTAGTAATTACAGTACATTCTTAAAAGGGGCTTGTGTACTGAAACTGTGTCCAAATTGTACCCATTAAAATAGGTATACGGCTATGGGGATCAGTTAGCAGAGCATTTTTCAAACAGAACTTTCAGGAGGTTTTACTAACACGGCCTATTGACATCCCGGTTTGAGAAAGAGCACTGTCAGTTCCATACAGCACAAAACCTGTTTTCTTAAATAATCAAGGAAAGCACAGAAAGTAAAAGACCTATTTTCCACCCTGGGTGGGTAGAGTGGCAGTACTCTCTCAAAGTAATCCCCACTGATTCTGAAAACAAAAGTGCCAAAATCATATAATAAAGAAGGTAAAACATTCCTTTAATAAAGTTCTTAAATTCATGCTATCATCTAGTTACTTCAATGCCACCATTTTTAAAAAAATAACCACACATTTAGTTGTCTGGTTTCACAGCCTCTCAGATAGAGCAACTGACAGCTTAGGCTTTTCCTACTGGTATTGCAAAATATAAATCTGTAATATTTTATTTTAAAGTGAAGTGAGTGAAGTTAAGTCACTCAGTCATGTCCAACTCTTTGTGACCCCATGGACTGTAGCCCACCAGGCTCCTCCACCCATGGAATTTTCTAGGCAAGAGTACTGCAGTGGATTGCCATTATGGAAAATGTTAGTATCATTTAAAAAGAAAAAAATATAGCTTTCATTTTCAGAAAGGAAAATAAAAAAGAATGCTAAATGTTGTATAATTTATATAGACAAAGAGGATATATTCTCTGCATTCAAGGAGTGTATGTATGTTGAAATTGACTTCCAAATAAAGTTGGAAGCATAACTAGGCAACAAATTGACGAACAGGTAGATCCAAACTGGGCAAAGAATGAACCCCTGATTTATTAATATCCAGGAAGGAAGACAACTAGATGCTTTAGAAGAAACTGGCGAATGCAAGCTTCAGTTCACCCAACTGTGGTGGCCTGTTCTCCAACCCTTACACAGAATTCTTTAATATCTATTATAAAATATCTACTGTATCTAATACTTAACATAAAATATATTTCTTTTCTGGGATTTACATACACTCATCACCCTAAGAACACTGAGAGTCTTTAGTACTAACAAGTGTCAGCCACCACGCACAGACAGGACCTACCTTCATCTCGTGTGTACTCTTCCCCTGAATGAGGTTCAAATAAGTAGTCACCTGTGGCCAGTTCAAAGGCCTAAGAAAAAGAGGAAAAGCTTATGAAAGCATTAAAAAAAAAAAAAAAAAAAAAACCTCTGGTAAGTTTATTGCTATTTGGCTCAATTTTAAGTAATAATATTTTTTCTTGGAGAAACCTGCAAATGATCATTTAAAACATTGTCTAAGATTATTCTTAGAGAGCTTTCCTTTCATACCTGCACCTTAATAAAATGGAGCAGGAAAACTGCAAAAGCTCAGTTAATATCAATATGTGGATTATTCCAAGCTCCCTGTGCCCCAATCTCTTAATCATTAATTCAACTCTCTTAAGTTTCTCTTTTTGCCCAGAGAGGGACGTGTATCTAAGGTGAATCTAAGTTATTATTCATGAGGTGAGTGTTTTTTAATAAATTCACACAGCTAGAAATTAAGATTTTGTACCTAAAATCAAAAACAAAAAAATTCAGAAATTTTTCTACTTAGGGCTCTTTAGAGTTTGGTAGAAAGCACTTTTAAAGTAAGTTTTGCTTTGAAAAGCACTTGTTAAACTGTCCTGGATAGAGTTCCCAATTCCTTGGTCTATAGAGAATCAGAAAAAAATGAAGTATAAATCGAGTTAGGAGCCACTCATATTGATCAGCAAGTATGCACTCACCAACCAGAAAAAGAGAGGCATGCCTCCTATAACAAGAGAACTTGTAAACAGAGTTTAAGAGGGTCCGAAAAAGTGATTTCCTTAGAAGTATCAGTACAGAGGACAGCATCTGAGTGATAGGGCTGTATTAATTTTTCAGTGATTAACAAGAGAGCAAGTAATTTAACAGCAGTTTTAAAAAGGACCTTATTGATATAAAAAGGACATTTAATAGTCAAGTGCTAGTAACCACGGGTTAATTTAGACTGACTCAATGGTACCAAGTATCCCAGACAATCTCGGGAATGTGGGGTGGATTTAGTTGGGGCACATTCTCAATTTAGATCCAGGTCTAGGTCTTGGTGGTCTGCCAGTATCACAACAGAAGAGTCTTTCTCAAAAATCGCCTGGGCCCTACTACTGCCCAGAACAAGACCACAAAACCAGAAGTTTCAGGATTGTCTCTAAAATGTCAGCAATGCTGTGGTTTCTTGCTCAGCATAGCTTGTTTTACATGCCAGCAGTTCGTTACTGAACTACACTGATAAAGCAGATACTTGTTATACCCTCAAAGCAGAACAGAAACAAACGGATCCTTGTTCATCAAAATTTGTCAGTCTCTCCTAAAAACAGTACTTTAATTTTTCTGTCTCATGTTGGGATTCAGTAAAAATACAAGTTAAAAAAAAAGACAGTTTTCTAAAAATTTAAAATACTCTAGGCACTTCTCTGGAAGGCCAGTGGTTAAGTCTCCACCGTTCCAATGCAGGAGGCATAGGTTCAATTCCTGGTTGGGGAACTAGAGTTCCTTCCACATGCCATGTGGTGTGGCAAAACAAAAACAGAACAAAAAAACTAAAACTTTCCACCTAGATACTTAAAGTTCTCTAAAAGAACTTAATTTTTGGAACATAAGGTAGTTGCTTATTAGTTACAATTTTATAAGTAACAGTACAAAAAACCAAACCCAAACCAAAAGATCACAACAGAACTAAAAACCCCTAGAAACTTGATTACAAAACACCTAGTTTAACATCTTTCCTTCACAGATGAGAAAACTGACCAGAATGGAAAGGCCAAGTCCATCCCAGAATCAAGGGCTCTGGTGTCTACACTCCTGTCCTTGTCTCACGCTGACCAAAGGGCCTGTTCTATGCCAGTCAGGTTCATGCTAACAGACACAGGCAAAATCAGTTATTAAATCCAGTGTGCTGGTACCTCCAGATAACGGAATATCATTCAGTACTAAAAAGAAATGAACTATCAAGTCATGAAAAAACATGGAAGAATCATAAATGAGTATTACAAAGTAAAAAAAAAAGTTAACGAATCATGCTGTATGAATTCAACTATACGATACTCTGGGAAAGGTAAAACTATGGAGACAATATCTATTCTTTATTCATTCTTAAAGCTCTTCACAGAACATTCCCTTCTTATAACTGTGCTTCTAACTTCGTAGAATCAATCACTAAAGTGGTAGGCAATCTCACAACTTGCCTTTTTACTTCTCAGAAAGGCGCAATCTTTCCATCAATTAATTGCACTGGATGAAGGAGGATCCATGTCTCCAGGACACTTCTGATATTCCAAGATTTATTTTTATTCTCTGAGTTTGGTGATATTTAAAGCAATATTTCTATGTCTATTAGCAAATGAGAGAAATTTGGGGTAATAAATGGGGCTAAAGTTTTCATGATACTGTCTCAAGTCAGTTAAGTGCTTTCTTTACCTTGGTCAACAAAATTCCTGTATGTGAGCTGGTCCAAAGAGGGGCCTAGGTTAACCACCCCCTCTTTCGTTTTTTTGGCCTTACTTCTTAAGCCTGACATTGTAAATACTATCTTAAATAGCAAGCAGGACTTACTGCCCTCAACTAAACTATTAAAAACTGCATCAGAGTAAACCAAAGGCCACCTACAAACTAGCTATATTTTGTATGGGGGCAGCTCTATCAGTTATTTCCTCTACCAAATCAAATCCCTCAATACAAAGCTTTAAAGTATGGCAAGAAAGAAGCTTTTTTCCCAGTGTTTTTTCATCTTGTGTACACAATACCAAACTATCTTCATTTCAGGTAGCCCTCCTGATTAAAAGACCACTGATGTGTCAAAACAAAATAATAACTGAAATTATAGTTTAATATGTTTCTGGTTTAGTTGACTTATTTGATGGCCTACAAATATTTATTAAGTACTATTGTATACTAATGAATTTGTTTGATCTTGTTCTTGTTTCCTAGGAGGGCGCCTCTAAACTCTTGGGATTTCCAAGTCATAAAAGTGACTCTTATTCATGGTGGGCCCCTTAGGACCACACTTCAGTTTATACGAATGAGGTGACTCATAGTAGGCCCTTAGACACAGTTTCAAGAGGGGGGGATGGACATGCCCCCCGGGTGGGTAAGACCAACTATACAATCAGAAGGTTGAGGTGTTGAACTGAGTGTTGTCATAACTGACCTCCTAATGTCCTGGAAAGATAAGGGGGCTAGAGACTGTAATGAAATCTCAATAAAAACTGGGCACTCAAAGCTTGGGTGAACTTCCCTGGTTGGTGACACACATTGATTTGTCACAATAGGTATTCTAAGGACACAGAAGCTTCTTCATCTCTGGTACCCTCTCAGGCCTCAATATATGCATATTGTCATTTGGGTGGTCCTGATTTATATCCTTTATTTCAGAACTGTAATATTTTAGCACTTTCTTGAGTTCTGTGAGTGATTCTAGGAAATTACTTAATCTAAAAGGATAGTGGAAATCCCCAATTCGTAGCCAGATAGTCAGGAGTGTAGGTGGCCTGAGGCCCCAGAGCTTGCAGCTGGTGTCTGAAGTGAGAATAGTCTTGTGGAAAACTGTGCCTTTAATCTGTGAAGTCTGTGATGACTCTGGGTAGTGAGCATTAGAAATGCACTGTAAGCAAACACTCAAAAGGTCTCAAGCCCTGAACCAGACATTTAACTACATATAATAACAGACATGGCTTCTGCCAGTACGGCACTTACAACAAGTAGGAGAGAAAAAAGTAAAACACCCAATTACAAATCGAAGAGTACCTCCATTTCAGGAAATTATATTTATGTTCCAACATGAGGCTATTTGTGGGAAGTCATTTAATATCAACTAATCTGATCATTTGAGTAGCTGCTTGACAAGGACAAAGCAGCAACTTAAGCATCTATGGATGACTGAGCTTCAGTCATCTTGTGAGACGCAAAGATGTCTGAAGAACTGCTGAATGTATAGAACTGTGTAGAATAAATCAATTTCCAGGGTTTTCCCTATCTGATAATAGAGCTGAAAGAGCAAGGGGTACCTGTAACCTGCAAAAGCAATACCACTTCTGAGCAGTTCTTTTTAACGCCCACCCCCAGCCCCCATCTGTAATAAGAAACATTTGGTTCCTTCACCTAACAGGAATTGGGCAGGAACTGAATGGAATGCCATATGTTTATACCCAAGGTTTTGAATTCAGACATCTCCAGACATGGGATTTAGAGTGCCAGTGGTTAAGTCAGAAAAAAATTCCTTTCCTATTTGTTAATTTGCTGGTCTACTGAAATTAGCAAATTACCACATAACAAGTTAAAGTCAACAGGAAAAACATTACCATGCATGCTGTGCTCCAAATGTCAGCAGGGGTATTATAGCCAGATCCTATCAAAACTTCCAAGGAGCGATACTGCCTTGTTTGAATATCTTCGGTGAAATGTTTGTGCTGAGTAAATGAAGGAAACAGTATTTTAAAATTCATTTATTCTAAAAAGTAACAAGTCATGATTGCTTAATAACAGAGATTAAGATAAATTCACCAAAGTTTTCCCTAAACCAAAGTTCTCATGTAGCTCATTTCTTAAGTATCATTTTCATGCTATTAGCTTCAAATAGCACTTTTCTTTACGTGCCATCTGCTCCAAATTATTTCTGAAAACATGAGCCTGAACTTATATATAGATACACAGGTTAGGCAGTAACAAATTGTTTTTTAAAAAAATGGAAAACTATTATCCCAAACAAAAGTTAAGTTGTTCGTTTGTGTAAAATAATTTGCATTTCAACATATAAATGCTACCAATTTAGGTTCCATTCAAACTTTTCCTTGCTGTGTGCTCATGAGAAATTGAAAGATGTAGGTTTCAAGTTTTAAGAGCCTTACAAACGCTGCCCATAAAAAGGCTTCTTGCCTTCGGTCTCCTTCTGCGCCCTCACCCCTCCAAAAATAACAAAATATTGATCTCGGGGACCATGTTAACCACTATGGGGATGCAACAGTTTCTTTAACACATATATGGGGAAAAAAGGGAAAACATCTAAAAATAAAGAAAAAGGGGAACAGCCATTTGTGAACAGTGGAATTTAGGCAGAGTAAGCTTCAGGCAGAAAACCATCACTGAGGGGAGCTCCAAAGGGTACTGGACTTAAGTCTGACCAAAAGTACTTCAGGTAGAGGGGACATCACAAAGGCATGCAGAGACATTGGCAAAAGCCAAACACAGCTAACTGCCAGGGTGAAGAGTTCAGATTTCATCTGGCAACAAGAGAATACCACTGTATGTTAGGAACCAAGAGAGTGTCCTCTAAGAGTACTGACAGGATCTCTGAGAACACCATTCCAGTAATCTCCTGGTTTGTGGCCAGATTTAGGCTTAGTAATGAACATCTGAACAATGGCTGTGAAAACAGGAGAGAGAAGAGTAAAAACCAAGGACATTCACAGGGAGAATAAGCGCAATTTAAAAATTCAATGGCTAGAAGCGGGAGACAGGAGGAAGAGTCAAAAGGAACTCTGTGGTAGAGGCTGTCAACAAAAATAGGGGTGGAAAGACTCAGAGAGGGCAGTGGCTTTACAGGAAAACAATGGGTCCAGATACTGAGTTTGAAGTGGAAATGTACTACAGGTGATACACTTAGAAAAATGGACATGCTCTTTTCAAGGGAGCCATCTTTACTCATGGTGCCTTACTACTGCCTTACAACTTACTGCCTACTGACTCTGTAAATGGTAAATGAGGTCAAGAATCAACAAAAGAAGTTGAACTGGAAACACACACATCCACTTATTCCTGAAACTTCGATTCTGTAGAGAATCCAGTGTTAAATTTTTAAAGAATAAACTGACAGGGACTTCCCTGTAGGTTGTGGTTAAGTCATGTGCTCCCAATGCAGGGGGCCTGGTCAGGGAGCTAGATCCCACATGCTGCAACTAAGACCCGGCACATTCAAATAAATAAATACATTTAAATAAAGAAAGAAAGAATAAACTGACAAAGACAAAGAATGGCAAAGAAGTCACAGCAATACAATTTAGGAGCTGGAAAGCAGAGAGATCATTGTTAAATGTCTTACTGGATACAAGGAAGCTGAATAATAAGCCACTAGTGAATGCTGAGAAGCATGGTGATAAATACCACAGTACTCCTCCTCCCAAGGATAAGGACTTAGAGGTATCAGGTATTTCTGGAAGTAGGTGGGGAAGTGGGACTGAACAAATGAACGCTGCGTTAGAACATCTTTTACCCTCGGAACACGGGCATGATGCAGTAACAACAGCCCTTCCCTGACCCGATACGAGGTTTTGTCTGGAGCAGGTAAAACAGTTCCTGGAGGATGCTCGGCATGGTGGAGGGGAGAGGACTATTCTGAATACAGGGCAATTAGGTGACTATATGTAATTGTATGCTGAACCCCCAGTTTTCCAGCTTAACTCAGTTTTCAAAACACTAATAGTCAGGCATTTATTCTCTGGGTAAGAGATCTGAGGAAGACTTAAGTTTTCTGTGGGAAATAGGACCAATCCAAGACCTTGACATCTGAGGATGAAATGAAAACAGCTCAGATCATTTTATAGTGAATAATTCAACAAGATCCACCAGGCACAAAGCTTCTAAACAGCTTTCTGGCACTCCATTCAAATGGTCAGTCTTTTGTTTAATGACCCTAAACAAAGAAGGCAAGGAAGACACCATATAAAGAAGAAAATGAAAACATAATATCCTCTCAGAGATAATCATGGAACCAAGGAACTCTTAGAAAGTAAGAATATAATAAGAGAAATAAGAAAATATAAGGCTTAAAAGCACAAGCTGAGAAATCTCCTGGAAAAGGAAGTGCTAGAAAATAGAAGAGATATGTAAGAAAATTAAAGAAACTGAATAAAATCTAACATTGAATAATGAGGTACCAGAGTTATAAAAGAAAAGAATTAAAGAAAAAAAAAATCAAGAAACAAAACCAAAGAACCAGAGTTTCAATACTGACAGCACACCCTGGGTTTCTTAGCTAATGGATGAAAACAGACGTCATGAGGCACATGGCTGTTAAATGATCCCACAGACTTCCTCAGTGGAAAAGGCTTCATACAAAGGTCCAAAAATCAGAATGACTCCAGTCTTTTAGCAGCAATGACAGGAAACTAGAAAAAAATGAAGCTATGACATTCTGAGGGAAAATGATTTTCATCCTAGAATTTTACATGCAGTCAACTGAGTGTAAAAACAGAATAAAGACATTATTAGATGTGCAAGGATGTCCACTCCTCTAGGAAGCCACTAAAAGTGTATATATTTCAAACAAAAACCATGATGGAGTAAACCAAGAAAGATCAGAGAGACACAAACGGGATATATAGAGAGAATTAACAATAATCTCGAGGATGACTATGAAAGGAAACCCCAAACTGCAGTGATGCAGCAGGCCCACAGGGTAACCAAAGAGATGAACACAGATTAGAGGACAACAAGTTCTAGGATAGAGCTCTTTAGGAAGAAAAAGTTGACCAATACCCAAGGTATCCATGTGTATTAAAGTGTATGTATTCAAAGCACTGGGTCAAAGTATGGGGTGGAATTTTTTTTTATCATTTGATAAAAGTTAAAAACAAAACAAAACAAAACAACTAAGTAAATGAAACAACAGTGTTAGGCAAAAAGGGAAAAGGAATCCTAACAATCCTAACACAGTATATACTTAGTTCAGCTGAGGATAGCATTAGAGTCCCAATAATATAAACATGAAATTATTTAGCCCAAAGTCGTATTAAATTGACGAGATAGGGGATAGGTGTAATGGCAGATAAGTCTTATTGGAAAGAAGGAAGAAATAGCTAAAACTGAAAAGAACTGGAAGCAATACACCTAAGTTATTTATTAACAATAATGAAGGTAAATACCATTATGCAGGAGTGAAAAACTGGCAAAGGAAGGGCATGGATTTTTGAGCTAAAATCTATATAAGTGATCCTAAGCTATATATATATGTGCGTAAGTGATGAGCAAAAGTATAATTTGAAAAACCAAACTCTTTGAAAACAATATAAAATTTCATTACAGAATACCAGATGCTGCTGTGCTTAAGAGACCAACAAGATGTGAGATCAGACCAGGATCTAGCAGGACAAGGCACCTATGTCTAGATCACCACTGTCCTAGTGCCCAGGTCAAAGATGTGCCCACACATTTGTTTAATGAGCAAACATATGAAAAGAATGTAAAGTCATTTTAGCATAGAGACTCATTAAAAAAAGAAATGCATGTGACAACTAAAGAAAAAAGAGATTAATTCTGTTGTAGAAAAATGACAGGAAAGACTGTAACCAAATAAAGCAGAGTATGCCAAACGCATAACACAGCCATGATGGAAGGTGTTCCAAAGACAGGCATTCATTTCAATGTATGACAAAAACCACTGCAATGTTGTAAAGTAATTAGCCTCCAACTAATAAAAATAAATGGAAAAAAAAAAAAAGACAGAGGCAAAGGAGCTTGAAATGACGTAAGCAGAAAACTGACAAACATTTGAAGTTTATACCATGTGATTTTTGTTACAGAGTCAATGTTTTCCTCTATAATTGTTTTAAATACTTAACAAGCACCTCCTATGTATGAGGTACTGTTCTGAGCACTAAGATACAGCAATGAATGAAAAAAATCTCTGCTGTGATGGAACATACATTACAGCGAAAGGGATATTAAACAAATATATAGAATCAGATTGGGTTAAGTGCCGTGGACAAAGAAAACTGAGGGGAGAGGGAGAGAGGAAAAAAAAGAAAATACACGAGTGATTATAAAAGGTTCATGGGTGTGAAGAGTAGTGGTTCATGTTAGGTGTTCAGGGAAAGATCCCCCTGGTAAGATGACATCTGAACAGGAACCTGAAGAAAATCTACTCTTTTTGAAAGAGTGGATTACACACATTATCTTGGGAAGAGAATTCCAAGTTAAAGATAAATTCCATTCTAAGAGAAAACTTAGAAGAAACTAAGGTTTCTGCTTGTGGTGGTATGCGGGCCACAGTAAGGACTTTCTATTCATTCTAAAGGAAGCCACCGCAAAGCTTCGAGAATACCTGACATGCATTTAAAAGGATCACTCTGATAGTCGAGCTGAGAACAGTCTGTAAGGCGCGAGGACAAGGAAGAGCCATGAAAAGCCGCTGTAGTCATGCAGGCAGGCATGGTGGCCGGGTGAAATACTTCCAATCACCTAAGAAGCTTTTCCATATTCCTGCCAGTCAGTGCTAAGTACTGACGTCATGTTTTCTAAAATGTTACCACAACATTCCGGAAGCAATACTGAAACTGAGATCCTCCTTGGTTATGAAACATTAGATATAGGATATCATGTGGAATAGGGAATTTGAAATATAAAAATAAACAGATCTAAAAAAAATAAATAAATAAACAGATCTATTAAAGTGGATTTCACCTCAATAGTCTCCAGCATCCCTGTTTACAAAGCATATATATGGCTCTTTGAATAGTCCTGTTTATGTGCAAATCTTTGTATTGTAGATTTTTTAAAAGATATTCATTAAAAATAATATAAAAAGCACTTTTAACTTGGTAAACAAAAGTATTAATAAGACACTATATATCAAAAACCCCCTTTTAAAAAAGCACTCAACTTCTGACTTAGCAATTTCACGTCTAGGGCATGTTCTAGGTCAACTGCAGAAGACTCATGAGCAAAGATGCTCATCACAAAGAACTGTCAAGAATATGTGAGGGTTATAGTATATTAGCAAGTATCACATAAAACTGAATTTGATATAAATCTGCGGTTGACAAAAGTGTCCAAAATATGTTAAATGAATTAAAAGGTTACAATTAATAAGTTGGTTAGATGCTGATTTAAAAAACAGAAGGCAAAGTCTGAATGTGGACATTTAGACTATGAAAGTCAATGAGGATACAGATAAAACCGCTAAGAGTGGATATCACTCAATGTCGGTGACAGGTGCCTTGTGTAGGGGCAGGAGGGGACTGTTTCAGCATACCATCCCCTCTACCCATGCAAAGGTTAAGAGAAAATTAAAATGGTCACTGGCAACCTAGGTTCCGAACTGCAGATGCTTTCTTCTTTTAGCACAACGAAGTCCAAATTCTTATTTATCCCCAGTCACTTCGAAACACTGAGACAAGCTTAACTTACCACCCAACAGGCATTTCCAAGATCAGCAATCTTCACTTGGAGCTTTTCTGCATTTTTTGGCTCAAGGGGGTTAACAAGAAAATTTCCAGCAGTGGATTTTCCTATAGACAACAGGTATCATCAATAAGACTGTTCAATGAACAGAGAAATATCCAAAGGTTAATAAAACTGTGAGGTAACATACCCAGGCCCCCAACTGGCCACCTATTAATACATTTTCTAAGACTGAAAACAAGTAAAAGCAACACCTCGAGTTTCCAGAAATAAAACCTCTGCCTTCAAAGCGGCAAGTAAAAATGCTGTGTACTCACTATATGACCAATAAAGATCAAACTGAACTACACATCTATACATTGAAGGTAACTTGGACAACTGCTGTAAAGCTGTATTTATGACAACAATGGTACTTTTATTTTATTTTTTTGGGTACTTTTATTTTAGAAACTCATGAAAAAATTTTTTCTATGTGGTAATTTTAAAAAAATTGTATAGTTGATTTACAACATATTAGTTTCAGGTATACAACATAGCAACTCAGCATTTTTATAGATTATACTCCATTTAAAGTCACAAATAATGCTGTTTTTCCCTGTATTGTACAATGTATCCCTATTAGCCTATCTATTTTATTATACATAGTAGCTTGTTCTTCTCAGTCCCCTACCTCCATGTTTCCTTTCCCCTTCTCTCTCTTCTCATTTGTATCCACCTGTCTGTTCCCTATACCTGCAAGTCTATTTTCTGTTTTGGTAAATTTGTTTAATTTTTAGGTTCCACATGTAAGTGACAACACACATTATTTGTCTTCTCTGATGTATTAGAAATTAATGAATATCTCATGTAGGGAAGGAGTAATGGGAAACTACCTTTGTTGTCTAGTGGTCCATTATGTTCTTGCTCTTGTTCATCTTCACAGGGTATCTCTGCCCGAATGCTTTCTTGAAGTTGGCTAATGTCCTGTTCACTGAATGATTGGTCTACATTTGACGAAGACTGGCACATCATGGTATCAGACACCTCAGAGGTTACAGGTGTACAAGAGTCTGTTTCTTGAGATGTGCTGCTGTCTCCATTCTGGGAACTTAGTAAACTAGGTTCCTGCTTCAAATTTTGGATATCACAGTCGTTAGCATTACGTAGATCCTCTTTAAGCCTCAACGTTTCTTTATTACTGTTCTCAGTATAATTAATGATTTCAATTACGCCATTGCAATTAATTTCTGCTGCACCACCCTCTATACCACGTCCTGTAAGTGTCTGATCCTGGTGAATGGTACGTGACTCTTCTAAGGAACAAACAGACAAAAAGGATGTACATGTATGCATATGCATGAAAGAGCAAAAAAAAAAATCTCTCCATAAGATTAAAACATTTCCAGAACTTATACAGAGTAACATAAAAACATGACTGCGTATCGAAAGCCTATTCATAGAAGGACAAAGATCTTCTAATTCTTACCCAATTGCTAAAAAAGTCTATGCAGCATTTCCTGAGAAAACTTAGAAATTACATTTGAATATTACCTCCCTAACATTTATGAGAAGTTCTGTATTCTTACTGTGTAAGGACACCCCCAAGAGATGCTGTGTACGCATGAAACCACATTATATAACAATGATAAATTAAAGTTTGATAAAGTAATTTGTGATGCTCTATTTATACCAAGTTTTTCTTGGGTCATTTTATTAGGTGGGTTCTCTTTCAAGGGTCTTTCAACAGGCCTCTCTGATTCTTCTTGCTGGTTTGGTCTTTTTTGCCCGGGGCCCGACTCTTTCTCCATTTCCTCAATCTCCTGCATTCGCTTCTCTAGTAATTCTGCCTGGCGCTTCTGCTTCTTCTTCAATTTCTTCTTCTTATTCTTTGACATTTTGTCAGCCTGGGCGGAGATTACAAACAGATAAAGCCTTCAGGTGGCTGATCCATTACCCCCAGTTGGAGATAACTATTAATTTTAATAACTTCCTAATTAAATTCCACTCTTTCCCTAACATAACACTTAAGTTTTTCATTAACTAAAAAAAGGCAGATACTCTTATGAAACCAAATTACAACAAAATACACAACAAATCCTGGTCCTCAGAACAGTCTGTGGGGCTGGTTCACTCTCATACACGCTCAAATTTATGGAAGCCTCACCAGTACAAACATTCACAGGAATTTATTGGAGAAAATTACAGAAGTGCAGGAACATTTTTTCTTTGTTTTCCAAACTCTAAATAAACTGTGATCCATAACAGAAGAACCCCTGCCCATTGCCCGTAGAGCAGAATTAAATGTAGAAACACCTTATACTTACTGGTTTAGGTTGGGGTGCAGTACTGACTGAAAAGAAAAGAAAACCAAGTCAGAATCTTGGCATTCAGCAGGCAATATAAACTAAGACACCCTACCAGAATGAAGTCTTTTTGTACAGTTTGTTAAGCAACTGTTAGAAACATTAAAAAAATAACATTTAAAGAACAATGCACAGAAAAGTTGACACATTTAAAATAAATTTAAATAAACTCTTCTCCAGACAGCATCAGAATATGCAAAGAACCAAGTTCCCGTTTCTGATTTATACTATTGTTTGGTCGCTGTCGTGTTTGACTCTTTTGTGACGCCATGGACTGCAGTCCACCGGGTTCCTCTGTCCATGGGATTTCCCAGGCAAGAATATTGGGGTGGGTTGCCATTTCCTTCTCCAGTAGATCTTCCCAACCCAGAGATTGAACTTGCCTCTCCTTCACTGGCAGGCGGATTCTTCACCACTGATCCACCAGGGTAGCCCAATTTACACTATTAACGTTGCTAAAATCCCCTTCCCATGTAGTGCTTAGAATGGAAAATGATATAGGCAACAACCATCTCATCTCTCACCCAAGACTAGTTCTCCTTGGCACTTGTCAGTTTTAAAAGTAGTATCAACAGTTACAGTAATTACATAGTATGTTACAGATATTAGTTTAGTTTTTAGCTGGAAGGTAGACTCTTTAGTCTTCCTTAAAAAAAAAATTTTTTTTTAAATTGTGGTAAAATAAACTCATAAAATTTCCCTTTTAACTATTGTCATGCATACAGTTCAGCAGTGTTCATTTCACATAGTTGCACAACATTTCTAGAACTTTTTCATTTTGCAAAAATGAAAACTCTATGCCCACTTAACAGCTGACCCTTGCCCCTGTGGAGGTATTCTTTTTTTTAAAGGAGTCTATGGACAACTGATCCTTCACCCTGAGGATCAAGAGAGTTCCTCAAATATAATTATTAAAATTAAAAGCTGTACCAAAAACAGAAAAAAATATCAATTGTAATCATAGTAGCCACCATTTATTTTACACATAATACTGTGTGGCATACTACTAATTGCTTCATGTGAAATTTAATCCCAGTAAGTTATGCATGAGGAAAAATGCAATCAAATCCCTTGCCCAAGGTCATTAACCAATGAAGCAAGAATTCAAAACAGGTATGTCCACTCCAGTGCTCAAACCCATACTTTTAACAGCAATGCTATCATGCTCCCGCACAAGGATCACTGATTCACATAGGTCAGCATTTATAAACATCAAAAAAAAAAAAAGGACCGTCAAATCACAAGAGAAAACATTTTAACACGAATCAGCAATAATACACATCTTTGAACCTAAAAGGTACAGTATTCTTCCCCTATGGAAATAATACTCAGTATAAAAAAGTCTTTTGAAGGCTGAAACTATTTCTTACATGAGTACTTACTGTACCTTACTATTAAGTGAATTAGTGGTGCTTTACTTAACTGCCAGGTAATAGAATACAAACAGGAACTTCTCTTAACTTCTAATGAAAACCAAGTCCCCAAAGAAAATACACCTGCAGATCCAGAAGGTGGAGGAGCTCCAGAGCGCTGCCATTCTGTTGCTTCTGCAGCCAGCCTCCGGATGTATTGTTCATTCACTGACAACAGGATGTTTTCTGGTTTAATGTCAGTGTGGATGATACGGCACTTGGTGTGCAAATAATCCAGACCCTGTAACACCTGAACGGGAACAGAGCAGTAGACTTGCAAACACTGAATACAAGTCTACCTGGAGAAGAAAAAACTATAATACAACATTGTGAAAAATAAAGATATAAAAATGATATGGTAGTTTGCTACAGAGAAGAAAGCTTTTTCTTTTTTTTAAAGAACTTCCCCAGAAAGATTAATTTTAAACTATAAACAAAGGCAAGAGTTTATTTGCAATGAAATGTTCTTCTAAGTTTTACAGAGCTAATTCTATGTGAAGATATTCTTTAAGTACATTATAGAGACTGAGAATAAAAGGCTGACATGTCCTTTAACTACTGAAATGTAGGCGACGATGAAAGAGATTTAGGTATGTTTAAATTTAAATTTCCTTATTGAAGAACTGAGGTCTTGTGCTTCCCAGTTTGGCGCTCTGTCCAACAAAACACATTATTTAAACAAACTGTTTGCCATTGAAATATTACTACTTTCCTGATGATAAAACTCTTTTACTGTATATTGAAAGCTGTTTATAATATGAGAAAAATGCTCATGAATAATGTTATATAAGGAACTGGTAGTAATTTGACAAAGTATTCTCTATAATACATAATCCATTTTTGCAACCAGAACTTCTAGATAAGGGTCCAAAATTCTAAAATCAGGCATTAAATACAGTTCCCCATCTAATAATTATTACAGAAGATGAACTGCGGGGGGGGGGGGGGGTGGGGGGTGGGGTGGCGAGAGGTTGTGGTAAAACATTTAAAAACAAACACAATAAACCCTAGAGGCTGAATAAACAATTTCAGCAATTTAAAAAACTTAAGTTTTAGGGAGGGGGGATCGGGAAGAGGAACACATGTAAATCCATGGCTGATTCATGTCAATGTATGGCAAAAACCACTACAATATTGTAAAGTAATTAGCCTCCAACTAATAAAAATAAATGGGAAAAAAAATTTTTTTTAATTTAAAAAAAGATAAAAAAATAAAAAACTTAGTTTTAGAAGTAAAAATTCTATTGGAAATAGGAAACTCCAGACACTTTAAGAAACTAAAAAAAATTACCACATGCAAACTATTATGTATAAAATAAATAAGTTACAAGGATACTGTACAACACAGGAAATATACCAAATATTTTATAATAACTATAAATGGAATACAACCTTAATAGTAGGATACATACTTGCTGAATAATTTTTTTGACACAAGGCAGAGGAAGCCCCTGATAATTGGACTTGATGATCCACTTGAGTAGATGATGCCCCAGAACTTCAAATACCATGCAGATATCTAGGAGTTTGTTAAGAAGGAAAACGGAGACAGAAGAAAAGGGCAAGACAAGCTGTGCTCCACCCCAAGGAAATTATTATTGTATTCTTTCAGTATAAAAAGTTACAGTGCTTTACTTGAAAAAAAATCTAGCTGTCAATATTCTGAAATTTCAAAGGTTAATTAATGTTTTGTCAATGAAAATACCCCAAATATGGAAAACTCGGGGGGGATGGTTTATCAATAAAACTGTGCATCTAAACAGTGATAAAAATAAGAGCAAAATATGTACATAAAGCTAGTGAAAGCACTAGACTTAAGGTGCTGATTAGCTTCTTCCCTTATGTCAAAATTAATGTCCAGGGTAACAACTCCAATTCTCCTAGTATCAGAGCAAGGAAAAATAAATTCTGCTTTAGCTACAGAAAACAATATACCAGAACAACCTAAAAAATGTAAATGTCAACATTTTTAAACAACAAGAAGCCGACTTGCTTTATTCTCTGTAGTGCACACACTAACCTTGATGCTACTGACACCACGTGTTCTCCTCATGTATGAACACCCAAAACCACATTTCCTGACGGAACGACTCTGTGGCCTGTAGTGCCAGGGTCAGGACACTGCAGGGATTTTAGTAGGAAGATTTCTTTCTGTATTTTCAACAGAAGTTTCTATAAAAATTGGGAAGTCAAGATATTTATATGTAATAATGATCAAGTGTTTTAAAACAGACTTCTGTTTTAAATAAGATTCTCCACTAAAGGAAAACCTGGACTCCTTGGAAAAGGCCAAATCCAGGGCCTTCTGGCAACCTGGAATACCTTGCTGGTGCCAACAGTAAGAGAACACATCAAGAGGAGATAGGAACCAGCTTGAAGAAACCACGGGCCAAAGTTCAGGACATTTTGCAAAGTGAAGTTATGAATTCGCTTAAACTAAAAACAGAATGAATCCAAACAAGAGACTAAAATAAGGGTGTGTTCGGGGCAGAAAAATGTCTTCTTTAGAGAAAAAGTCAATTAATAAATACATAATGTATGACAGAAATAAAAGTTACCATTTTATAATCACTACAGTAATAACTGAACTGATTCAGGTAGGAATCAATGAATACTAAAACTACTGATAAAGACTGCTGGGGAGAAAGAATTCTCATGGAGTTACCGTATCACCCCATAGACTGCTTACTAATTATAAAAGGAAAACGGTACTTTTAAACAGGGAAATCCAGAAGACTTTGCCTTAACCAAGTGATCAAACATATTATCACCAATGGTAAGCACAGATTCATATCATGTACCCTCTGATGTAATACAATGAGAAAAAATGTAGCATACCTGACAAAAATGATTATAATGAACTTAATCATGAGCAAACAATCAGGCAAATCCAAATTAAGGAACAATACAACTGGCCTGGATTCTTTGAGGTCAGTAGCGGGGTGGTGGTGGTGAATGCATGAAAGAAACTGTTCTCAATTAAAGATTTAAAAAATGGATATGTTCAGTTCAGTCGCTCAGTCATGTCCGACTCTTTGCGACTCCATAAACCGCAGCACACCAGGCCTCCCTGTCCATCACCAACTCCCGGAGTTTACCCAAACTCATGCCCATTGACTACCTTAGAAAATACAATCAAAATTAAAGCAAGATATCATTTCAAACTCACCAGAATGACTAAATTAAAAAATTAGGGTTTCTTTGGTGGCTCAGTGGTAAAGAATCTGCCTGCCAATGCAGGAGCCACGAGCTCAGTCCCTGGTCGAGGAAGATCCCACATGCTGTGGAACAACTGAGCCTGAGCATCACAACTATTCAGCCTGAAGTCTGCAGCCCGGGAACCACAAGGACTGAGGCCTGCATGCCCCAGAACTTGTTCTCCACAACTAGAGGCCACTGCGATGAGAAGCCTGCACACTGCAACAAAGAGGAGCCCCTGCTTGCCACCACCTACAGAAACACCTGTGGAGCAAAGAAGATCCAGCAGAGTAGGAAAAAAAAAGAAAAACCTATTTAAAAAAAATAAAAAAGACTAACACGATTAAATGTAGGTGAGGATATGGAGCAACTGGAGCTCCCACGAGGCACTAACAAAAGTGTAAAATGGTACAACCGCTTTGGAAAACTGGTCGGTAATTTCTTAAGAGTTAAACATATGTCCAAGAACTTCTTTAGTCAAGATAGAGTAACAGGGACTGGGTTTACCCTCTCGCTTTAAGCAACAACAAAATCAAGCAAAATACATAAAGCAACAGATTTAACAACCCTGGATGTCAGGCAAAGAAGGCAGTTATCTCTGACAGATTACTGTCTTCTTATTGCCTTGAAACTTTCCAGGCAAATCCCTTTGAGTTAAACAGAGAGAACTGAATCCTGGGAGATCAAGGCAGCAGCTATGGTTGGAGAGAGCTGTAGAGTCCTGAAGATCTGCAATGCGGTCCGCCTCAAACACTCAGCAGAGCGAAGTCAGCACAGGCATATGAGGAAGCTATTGGCGGCGGGGAAGCCCATCTGAAAGGCCTAGAGGGAACAGTGCCCAGCACCCCCACAGCGCTCCAACCAGGAAGACTAGAAAAATTCAGTTACAGGCGAGAAATAAATCCACAAAGGAGCCAAGAATATACAATGGGGACAGTAACTTCAATAAGTCATGCTGGGAAAACTGAACAGCCACCTGAGAAAGGATGAAATTAGACCGTTATCTTATAGTATATCCCAAAATCAACTCAAAATGTATTAAAGACCTGAACATAAGACCTGAAACAGTAAAACTGTTAAAAGAATACACAGGTGGTAAGCTCCTTGACATTGGTCTTGGCGATAATTTGGATCTGACACCAAAAACAAAGTCAACAAAAACAAAATGAACAACAACTATTTCAAACTAAAAATCCTCTGCAGAAAAAAAGGAAACAAAATGAAAATGAATAGGCCACCTATGGAATGGGAAAAAATACTTAAAAATCAAAGATCTGACAAGGAGTTAATAAAAATTATTAAAAAAACTCACATGACTCAACAGGGGGAAAAAACCTCAGTCTGATTAAAACATGAACAAAGAATCTGAACACATTTTTCTGGAGAAGACATACAGATAGCCAACAGGTACATGAAAAAGAGTTCAACATCACTAATCACTAGGGAAATGCAAAACAAACGGCAAGACACAGAAGCGACCTAAGTGTCCAGTGATGGATGAACATGAAGAGAATGTGGCCTACATGCACAATGGGATATTCTCATTCAGCCATAAGAATGGAAGCCTGCCATTTGGGACAACATGGATGCACCTTGAGGGTGTTAGCCAAATCAAAGATGACGACCGTATGATCTCACTTACATGTGGAATCTAAGACCAAAGCAAGACAACAAACGCAGACACAGAAAACAGACGAGTGGCTGCCAAAGGTGGGAGGTGGGGGAACAGGTGATGGTGGTCACAAGGTACAAACTTCCTGTTATAAGATGAGTAAGTGCTGAGTGTGTAAGGTACAGGATGGTGACTGTACTTAATAATACAATACTGTATATTTGAGAATTGCTAAGAGAGTTCTCAACACAAGAAAAACGTGTAACTATGTGTGGTAATGGCTGTTAACTTACTATGGTAATCATTTTGCAATATATACATCTATTAAATCATTACGCTATATACCAAAAACTAATACAACGTTGTGTATCAATTATGAACAGAAAGTGAAAGTCACTCAGTCTTGTTGGTTCTGAAACCCCATGGACCATAGCCCACCAGGCTCCACTGTCCATGGGATTTTCCAGGCAAGAAACTGGAGTGGGTAGCCATTCCCTTCTCCCGACCTAGGGATCGAACCCAGGTCTCCTACGTTGCAGACAGATACTTTATCATATAAGCCACTGGGAAAGTCCAATTAAAAAAAACAAAACCTGGAAAAATTCATAGTTATGGGGCATTAGGCAGAATATTTAGGAAGACCTTGCCTCAGTGGAAGGAATGATTAGTCTTAGCCGTCTAACAAATCATAAAGGTAAAATCTGAAAAGGTTCATACTGTTTCCTGACAATAACTGCATTGCAGAACAAAGCTCCAGATTTAAAGGAATGCAACATATCCAACAGCCAACAAGGTAAAAATCACAATGTCTCAATGAAAGACTACCAGGCAACAAAAATGCAGGAAAATGTATCTAAAAATTAGAATTATCAATCATTTAGAACTGACCCAGAACTGACCCACTTGTTAGAATTAGCAGACAAGGAAATTAAACAGTCATAGCAGTATTCCATATGTTGAAGAGATACAAAAGATTTTAAAAAAGAGAGAGACCCAGAGAAGAGGTGGTGTATACGTATTAATGGATTAGCCATAAAAACAATGAAACCTTGCCATTTGTGACATAGATGAACCTAAAGGGTTTGCTTCTAAGTGAGATGAATGAGACAGAGAAAGACAAACACGGTACACTTTCACTTAATAATGTGAAATAACAGACAAAAACAGACGAACAAACACCAGAAAAGAGTTACAGATACAGAGAACAAACAGGTGGCTGCCAGAGGGAGGATGGTTGGAGAAGGAAAGAAACAGGTGAGACCGATTAATAACTACAAACTTCCAGTTGCAAAATAAGTGAGTCATGGGTGTGAAATGTACAGTGTGGAGAATATAGTCAACTTTTAACATCTCTGTACGATAAATATCACAGTGTGTGTGATAATTATCAAATTATATGTCAATAAAACTGGAAGAAAAACAGAGACCCAAATTGAACTTTTGAGATGAAAAGCAACAAGTGAGAGATGAAAAATACCATGGATGGGATAAATGGCAGATCAGGCACTTGCAGAATGAGATTAGTAAACCCAAAAGTACAGCAATAGAAACTATCCAAAATGCAACACAGAAAGAAAAAATAATCCAAACAAACCAACCCACAGACCCACAAGAGTAAGCTGTAAGGGCAACTTCCAAGTGACACAAAAAATGGGAGAGGAGGAAAAGAATGAAGGTACTTGCTCTTTGCAGAGGATTGACAAATCATAAAAGTGATGGCAGTAACCAACCCAGTAGCAAACTGTGTGCTGTGCTTAGATTCTGCCCCCCATTTCCCACTAAAAGGAATTAGGGCTTTGTAGATAAATGGCTGACGCCAGGTCTGGGACAATAAATATACAAAATGAGCCTGCGACATTTTGATGTGCCAAATAATAAAGGAACTGTTAAAACTTTATGTGACTCTTGACTGAAGTTAAAAATTAAAAAAAGAAAAAGAGACATCTAGAGAGACTGAAATACTGACTACATAAAGGGACTAAGAAACTGGTCCCCAACTTTTTAAGGAATAATAACTATGTTGGGGTTATATTTTAAGAGTCTCTATCTTCTGGAAATACTTTCTAAAATAATTATGGATGAAGTAATATATTTAAGACTGGTCACAAAATTATCAGGAGATACAGACAAAACAACATTGGTTATGAGTTGATAAATTTGGGAATGAGTAATGGATCTCTGAGGATTCAAACTATTCTATTTCTGTATATATGAAATATACCAAAGTAAGATATTTTAGAATGCAGATTGCTTAAATAAACAAACCAGAAAAGAGAATTTTAAGTTATTCTCAAGTTCCTAGCTTTATTATTAACTTTCCTTTGAGAGAAGCATTACAATTTGACAACAATGTTGTTTTAATTTGCAAGTAGTGATATAAAAATGATCAAACATTTAATAGCTTAAAAACAAAATGAACTGGGTGAAACAGCAAAAGCATATGCGAAAAGAAAATTTTGTGGGAGATGGTGTAAAGAAAAAAGGCTGAAAATTAATTAACAGCCACATTTAGAGTGACTTATGAACAAGAAGAGCTAGCAAAAGAGGTAAAATACACACTAGAAAAAAAGTATCCTAAAAACATAGGTCACATAGGTGACCAAAAACGACACTGACTTATGTTAATATTATGTAAAGATCAGCTGTTACTTCTTAATCACTCTTCTCCCCTCACCACCCATGGAAGTAGAATGAACCCATTTATATTGAAGTCTATGACTAACTTTCTAGTTCAGAGTCCTTGTGAGACTTCAAAATGAAAAAGAACAGTGCTCCAGAGAAAAGGCAGTACACCCAGATACAAAGAAAATCAGATATGTAGCTCCATACAGTTATGCCTGTGTTGTGAAAAGAGATGAGGGGCAGGGGAATGACATAACCCATTAAACCTTAACTCAGTGCTCTGAGTTTTATCCTTTTCAATCTCTAGAAGCAGCAAATAATGCCGTAACTGAGACAGCTGGGAGACAAGTAGGAGGAAGAGCAGAGAGAAATGGCTAAGGATAAAGGGAGAAATGAATAAAATAGGAACTCAGTGGACAGAAACTACAGAGAAACCATACAGTGATGTTTGGAAAACATCTTAGAACTTGAAATTCAAATCTATTAAGATATTTCAATAGTTAAAAGGTACTCTGCATTACTAAGGAGATTAGACAGACTATTTCTACAGTTTTACTATAATGTTCCCAAATTAAGAGAGAAATTTGGCACAAGGACAAGCATTACAAGGTCAAGTAATAGGGAAATAGAATCTAACAGCCATCACAATATCCTATCTGATTTCTTGGTTAGCCTTCATAATTCTTTGAAAAAATGTGTGTGCACACACACACAGTAAGTCACCTATGAAATGACAACAGACATAAATTGATGAGTCCTATGGCATGATTCTTCTATCTGTATTCCTTAGAAATGGAAGGCAGGGGGATATAATTTATACTTCTCCAAGGAAATAACTGAAAACTAACTTCAGAATGACATAAAATCTTCATGTTATCACCTGTTCTTTCTTGTTTCTTATCCTTTCTCCATGTGTTTTAGTTCAAGTCTCTTAAACCACAGTCCACATGATACTATAGAGTCCTATGTAGCCCATTTCCTTTAACAAGTCACTGGCTACAAAAAGTGTGTGTTAAGAGAAGCTAAACATGCAGAGAAAGTAGAATGATATATGAAATCTTTCCTTACACATTTTAATACACTTTAAAAAAGTTTTAGACTCTCCAATCCAAGTGAAATTCTTCATCTTTTATTCTGAAAAATTTTGATAGGCCTTTACAAGCATAGCTGTTGCAACAATCTTTCAAACAGCTCTTTGCATGTCACACTCTTTGCATATTAACTTATGGGGGGAAAAAACAGCTAACATTCCTTCCAACTTTAAAATTCTAAAATTTTAGATCAAAACATAAAACTAGTCAGTTTTTTTCACTACGACAGAATATGAACAATTACATTTAGATTTTAAGCATAATCTACATGTACAGCCTCTTAAATATTGAGATAATAAAGTGCACTGAATTCTTATTTAACCTATTTCTCAATAATTCCATTAAAATCTGTTAATTGATAAAAAAAATAGAAACTTTACTTAGTTTTAATACTACTAGTCTTTCTTCTTAAAGTTTCTTTTGACTTCAGTTTTAATTTGCCTGAAAAAAGGAAAAAGTGTAAAGCAATAGCTTTAAAAACACAACATACAAAAGACAGACATGATTCACAATGTGTTCAAAAGTTTACAATAAAATAAAGAACATTTTGATTATAGTTTGTTTTGAGAAAAGAGACCAATGCAAATCTCATTCTTTTTTTTGAAATAAAGTTATTTCATGATTTGTTTTCAAAATAAGTTCTAAAAAGGATACGTGTTCCATTAACTCCTGATATTTTAAAGTCATCTAGTAGTTGAACAACCATTTCTCTGTTTGGATCATCAGGATCTGAATTACGAACCTATAATAGGGGAGACAATATTTAAAAAAAGGGAAAGCACAGAAATAAACCAAATGGTGAGGGAGGGGATACCAGCAGCATATGTAACAAAGGATTACTTCAGAAAAGAGCTCATACAAATCTATAAGACAAAACATAAAATTTTAATAGCTCAAAGAACTTAATATAAACAGTTCACAAAAGAAAATACAATCAAAGATTGTATTGTATAGTCACTGTTCTAATTATAACATTTTGCTACTTGCTCCCAAGTTAACTGCTAGTTACCAGGCCAGGAAGAATTCAGGAGCTTTTGCATGATGCAAATCAACTGCAGCACTAACCATACTGCTTATTCAGCCTTCATTTTTTTCACAGAAAAACCTTCTCAGGGAAGGAAGCAGTACCCTGATTTACTTTGGGGCATGAGCTCATCTTGTTACAGACAAGCACTTTCAATACTTTCAATAAAGTATTTCCCTGAAGCTCTCTTGGTCTAGCATCCTCACTTTTCTGAATGAAAAATCTAAGGCTCAGAGGAAATAAAGTTGAGGATATATTCAGATAGAGCTGATCCTAAAAACTCATGTCATCTCACTTGGGATTCAAGCTTCTTCTACCTCACTGACATTTCCTAATTTTTAAGAAAACTAAAAATAAGTTTTGAAAATATTCACCTAAGTTTCCAGGTAACATAAGGGAATTAATAACTATAGTGCTTATTTTTATATTAAATATTTTTAAAGATTTTAAAACAAAATAGAAGGTATATATTTATTCACTCCTTTTCTTTTAACCATGACAGGAAAGAAAAACACTGTGTTATCTGGCACATAAAACATGCTCAATAAACATTTTTATTTGCAAGGTTTCTTTTCAGTGTGCATGTATAGGGAGAGTTGCCATCACAGCATATTCTTACCAGCTCCCTACCAAATACACAGACTGTGTAAATACTGTCTTCTTCTACCTCTTTAAGGATACCGGAACTTTACAGTAACTTAGCCATGCCAAAAAGTATATACTTGGTATGTCTTAACTTTAATAAAACTTTATTTATTTATAATGCAGCTCACACATACAATCTAATACTTACTGATTTCAGCAACCGGATTTCATCAAGTGCAGTTTCAGTATAATGTTCAGCACTTTTAACTACTTTCATTGCCACGAACTTCTTTCCCCTAAGAAACAAACACAGGCAATTAAGACCAAATGCCTTACCTTTCCATTGGGAAGCTAAGATTTAACCATAACTGGCAGACAGTGACAGAACGAATATTGATTTCATGTTCCCCTGGTCAAACACATACTACTACTTCTGTGGGATCATCTGTACCTGTTAATAGCACCAACTGGCCAAATTTAACTTATAAGAAGAAGAAAATCTGTTCCTAGGTAATGTCAGTCATCAAACATTTTCCCTGAGTTAAAATCTACTTTCTGAATGCTCCATGAACCCATGTAAAACCATGAAATGGAGATAAGGGGGGAAACTTCACCAAATCAGAAATACTCTGTATACTTAATATAACAAAACCTAAAAGGTTAAAAGCTATAATATTATTCTTTCCTCTAAGAAGCCAGAAGAAATACTTGGGTGAAAAACTGATAAAAACAGTGCATAGATAGCAACTGCTGTCTCATCAAAGATAGAAGATACACTCTAAGGTAAACATCCAATGTTAACTGCCTGTGAGTTTTATGTAGAGGTTTTAGACTGTATGGCTGAGCAAATCTGTTATAGAAACAAAATACAAGAAAATAATTTCACACAGGTTGGTCTAGGACACCATCTAAAAATTTAGCTCTACTCCAGTGGGAAAAACTATGAACTAATATACTATATTATCTTTGAGTATCTGTAATGTTTTTAATTTGGGAGTTTCAGGAGCCTTACTGATAATAATTCAATCAATCTTGTGTCTCCTCTAAGGTGCTGCTTCACCAGAGGAAAGTCATTTGCCCAAGAACATAAAGATTATTAACTGTAAGATTTTTATTAAGAAATCAGTCTAGAGCTAGACTAAAAGCAGAAAATTAAACACAAACATTTAGGAATCACCTAATCCTCTTGTACTAAAACTTACTGAATATCCCATGATAACCACACAGTTGAAAAGTGTCCCCAGCCCAACTTTCGGATGACATGATATCTCCCATTGAACAGATCTCCAATTTTCACAAGATGATAACCTCCTGGAAGAAACAATAGAGGGAAATAATCACTTATGTAGAAAAAAAAAAAAAACTCACATTTTCCAACATTTATACATCTTCAGCAAATAAAAATGCTTTCTTTTAATACAATCAATTCAACAAAAGAAAATTTTAAATCAAGTCAGCAACACAGTATTATTGAGCTCACGTTAACTTGAAAAAAAAATTACTTTTCCAAAACACAGCAAACAGAAACCAGAAAAGACTGACAACAGTGGCAAGAATCAAAGGATTTAAACATCTATCTCTGCCTGCTGAGAAGAACCAAGTTCTCCTCGATGGTAAGATAACATTCTGTTATAAGAGCCGATCCTACCCAAGAATCCTGGAACGTTTTGTAAAAGAAACAAAATATATCAGGAAATCTTATGCCACAGTTTTTAAGTATCCATAATTCTAATATAATGTAGCTTAGCAATCATCACTTTGAGAAAAGAGTAGTGAAAATATGTTTTTCAAAAGTCTATATACCAAATGTTATCACTGTTCACTTCTGGATGAAAGCATTATAAATGACTGTTGTTTTCTTTTTGTTTAATATATTTCTGAAATTTTCTAAGGAATTATGCACTATCATTTTTTAAGGAAAGGAGGAGTAGATACATTTAATTTAAACCAAGCTTTAATTAAGTCAAACTAAAAGGAAATATCAATTCCTATACTTAGAGAAAAGGATGCAATAAGCAGAAAGCATTAATACCATTTATGCTGATAGATCAAATATTCAAATGAAAGAGTGTACACGTGAATTACATCTTACTTGGTATCTCCTCACAGAAAACCTTACCTTTGCAGTAATCATTGGGATCTTCCTGCTCATCATCATCAGATCCCAGGATCTCCTCTTCCTGCTCAGGCGGGTCACTCTCAGAGTGCGGAGCAGAGCCTCGGGGCTGAGTTTCAGATCTAAAAAATAATACAAACATATTCAATTCCATGTGAGCAGAAGAAAACAGGACCCATGAACAGATAACACAAACAGAATGTTACACAGTGGCAGCCTAGGAAAACACTACCTATCACTTTACCTCCTGTCAGGAAAAGCCTAGTTTTAAAAAGTCAGTACATTAAACAAAATCTGGAAAATATATAAAAGTACAAAGGGGAAAAATTACTTGAATTTCAATATTCAAACAAAACTTCTGGTAAAACTACTAGACCTTCCTCCAGTTATTTGCTGTTATTTTTATAAAAATACATACTTTGTAAACAAATTTGTATCCTGCTTTTCCTATTATATTATTAACTTTTCCCCTCATTCCTACACAAGCTCTTAAATCTTACTTCCCTTGATGGTATCACTGTCTACCCTGGTATATTCTGTTCAGCTGGACACTTGTTTCTAATTCTTCAGTACTAAAAATTAAAGCTGTTGAGTATTTTTAGACAATTTTTATTCTGTATTTAGAATTATTCCCTTAAAGTTAAACTACCAGATAAAGATAGAAATATTTTTCCTGTTTATAAAAATAACACGTTAAATATAGGAAATTTGAAAAATAATTATTTTGTTCTAAAACATCTCCACTCTGAACATACTAACACTTTGGATTATTTCTTTCCAGTCTGTGCCCACAAATGGTTTTAATATAGTATGACTTTTCTGAAAGAACTGTAATGAATTACATCTCCAGCCACATATGGGCTCCAAGTATTCAAGTATTGCTAAGTTTAAAAAACTTGGTTTATTTGACAGGTTAAAATGTTATTTTCTAATGTGCTAATAAACATTTGAAACTGATTCCTCTGTCTACATGCCATCAATTAGTTATAATGAAACTTTTGAGCACTGAGTAAGTAGTTCAGGAGGCAGAAAGACTTGGATTTGCATTCAGGGTCTGATACTTAAAAGCTGCCTGCTTCATAAAGCTTTGAGCAAAAGAAGCAGTGTCCACATCACTCTTTTCAGCAGTTGCAGAAAAGGGAATTTTAATTCCCATTTCCCAGTATTTTATTTTAATTTTCAAACCTTTTTCATCAGATTGTTTTTTTCAAAAGATTCAATTCAACAGAAAAAAAATTTAATAGCAAAATTAATGGGCTGCTGAGACATAACTAACTACACTGGCAAGCAGGACTAGATTTGGATTTTCAGTGGCCATTCCAACCTGCCTCAACTCTTCGAACTTTCTGTTCCTCAGGGGATACAAAAGTAGTTACAAAACTGCATGATTCAATTCTTAGTGAAAGCTTATCTGTGGGAAACTTACCTGGCCTACTTTCCTAAGTGGGAATAATGAGTCTGAATTAACATTTCCAAATTTATTAAGACAGGGTTCTAAAACAAATTCTCTGATTTCAAACTCGTCTTACAATTTTTATTTTGAGAACTATAATTGAGAAATTTTTGAAAAGCAGCGAAATATTAAGTTGTGAAAAACAGACATGAAATTCCCACTTTTTTTTTCTCTTGAATGTTCCTTTTCTACAGACTCCTGCATTGTTTCAATGATGTACCGCCTTCATTTATCTTTAGGATAGAATTTATAGTCTCTAAGTTTTCTTTAGATCCCTGGCTTTCTCAAACTGCCCATGTTTTACTAAGCCATGCTTTTACACACGATGTCAGTCAATGAACATCAGACAACTGAATAAAAGCCTCTGCCAGAAAAAGACAAAACCCAAAAAAGAAAGAAAATTTGAGACAAGAGACAGTTACTACTAGATAGTGATGATAACATGATTAAAGAGCTCAATATCACTGTTAATTTTGATTGATGGTTGTTGTAACAGTATAAAATTTCTGAAGAAATACTACAGAAAGAATTTCAGCTTATTAACACTTGACATTAAAAACCAGTCTTCCTAGAAAAGGGAGAGTTCTAAAATAGTTTCAGTCTGTGCTTTAAAACTTATGATACCTATCAATATTTCATGTCACAAGTATAGGCTATCTATATTTAGAAGAAAAACCACTGTTAAAAGTAGTTTAAAGCTCTCAAAGCATACAAAATTTAACCCAGTACATCTACAAAATCTCCCAATATAAACTGAAATGAACAACAGATCAAAATTTAATAGCAGTATGCTTCCAAAGAAGTCTAACTTATAACCCAATTAAAACACCAGTAATATTAGAAATAAGAATACACTTGGCTGTGGTATAGAACAGAAACAAGGCAAAAATTTGGGAAGAAAGCAGAAAGCAGTGGAAAAGCTTGACAGTTTTGCTCTCCTTATACTTCCAAGCTTGTTCTGACACAAAGTCTGGAGTGTGAATGGAGAGGTAATAAAAGCCAAGTCAGAATGTTTTCTCCGATTTCGAAGGATCCTTTCAACTCAAGATTCCATTACTGGTATAATCATCACTAATCACTCAATAGCAAAACCAAAGTACTAAACAAAAATTTACTGAGTCTTTTGTAGTCAAATACTATATATTCATACCCATCATAAAGAATATGTTATTTATGAATTTTCACTTACACATTTCATGAATTCATATATTCAAATTAGCCACACAAACTCCCCACTCCTACATTTTCTAAAGAATAAATGATGAAGAAATTCCTGTAGTTCAAAACAAAAAGTAAAACCAAAGAAACTGTTAAGTCCACTCTGACTCACTAAACTGGTTTATAATCTGCTTGTGGGTTGGGTTTGAAAACACTTCCCTGGGAGTTACTTTTAACTTCTGTGTGTGTATTAGTAGCTCAGTTGTGTCCAACTCTTTATGACCCCATGGATTGTAGCCCACCAAGCTCCTTCATCCACGGGATTCTCCAGGTAAGAGTTCTGGAGTGGGCTGCCATTTCCTTCTCCAGGGCATCTTCTCAACCCAGGGATCGAACCTGGGTCTCCCACATGGCAGGCAAATTCTTTACCATCTGAGCCACCGGAAAAGATATAATTCACATGTCATAAGTTCACCAATCTAAAGTGTATACTTAACTAGTTAAAGTATATTAAAAAAAAAAAAGTATATTCAGAGTTGTGCAATCTCATTACAATCTAAATTTAGGACATTTTTATCCCCCTCCCTCCAAAAAAAAAGCCCAAACCCATCAACAGTTACTCACTATTACACTCTTCCTCCAGACTCTGGAAAACACTGGTCTATTTTATGTCTCTATCAATTTGCCTATTCTGCATATTTCAGATATAGAAAATCACATATCATGTGGTCTTTTGTGACTATTTTTACTTAGCATGTTTTTAAGGTTTATCCAAGCTATAGGGTGTTATCAGTACTTCATTACTTGTTTACAGCAGCACTGTCTGGAATAATGAAAAGGAGGAAACAACTAAATGTCCATCAAGAGGAGAGACAGGTAAGTTACAGTATTTTGATAAAATATATCCAACAGTAAAAATGAAGAAGTTACATCCGTTAGCATGAATGAACTACACAAACATAAGATAGAGTGCAAACAGCAAGCTGTAGAATATATACAATGTATCCCACCTTCAAAGTTTAAAAACATACAAAACAGCCAATGTGTAGTTAAAATATAAATAATTGCACAACTGCAACTAGTCCCTAAAGAACTGCTGGAACTCTGACACACAGTATGGCAATTATAAACAATAAAACTATATTACAAACATCAAACTTTCTAAGAAGCTAGATCTTAACTGTTCCCACCACTGGAAGAAATAATAATAAGATATAACAGTTATTAGTTAACACTACAATGTCAATCATAATGTGATATAAATTCATCAAATATGTTGTACACATTAAACTTTTACAATATTATATGCCAATCACATGTCAGGTTTTAAGAAGCTGAGTAAAAAGAATGAATAAAGTAACAACACAAAAGAAACACAAGACAAGTTCAGGATAGCTATCCATCCCACAAGTGAAGGCGCTACAACCTAGAGGTGCGATCAAGGAGGGGTGCACACAGCAGCGCGTAAGGCGACGAGCCTTGCTCAGGCCGAGGAGCTGCTACTGTTAATTGATTTGTTATTTTATTTTTGTTTATAGTTCAAATACTTTATTTAAAAAATACTGGCTCTGATTGCTTAGGTATGACTCCAACACACGGCTGGCTTAACGACATTTGGCTAAATCATTATTGTACATTTGGAAATCTTATTGACCTTACCCATCAAACTACCCAAAAAGTGCCTTCATACTGCCTGAGGTTAATCATGTTTTCATAACAAAATACAAATGGCGGCAATGGGGAGAGACTCGATTGCATGCCTAATTCATGGGAAAAAAAAATGTACCTGCAAAAAAATTTTCTGTATTTTTTTTAATGGAGAATAAAAAATTCAAATAAATGAAAAGTGTACACAGAGAATTTAAATAACAAACAGGCTTGATCTAAATTGATACATTCATATACATAACTTTATATCCATTAAAAAAAACTGGCATACTATAGAATAAAATGGAAATATCTTGGTAGATCTTGATTTAAAGAGGAAATGAAATATAAAATTTCAAAGTATCTAGATATGAGTGCATTACATGTTAAAATCTATGATATACTCAGTTTTACTAAAAAAAAAAACAAAAACAAACAAACAAAAAAACCTACATGGATATAACAATCATGTAGATTAAAAAACTGAAGAGCTACTCCTAAAAATCAACAAGCCCAGACAGTAAGGTCAAGTGCTACTACATTTTCAATGAAGAGTTAATTGAGTAGTTCTTTTTTAAAAAATTCTTTTAAAATAAACTGTACCAGTGTATCTCTAAGAGCTAGAAAAGCTCTCCAGTTAATTTGAGAGTACTAGCATAAACTGACATTCAAAGCAGAAACCCTGACATCCAAAGCAGTCACAAGCAACTCATCTACAGAATGAGGACACTAGCTGCTGTGAGAACTTGACATTTAATAATTAGCATAATCTTATTATGTATGTGTGTGTGTGTGCTCAGTCATATCTAACTCTTTGTGACCCTACGGACTGTAGCTCACCAGACTCATCTGTCCATGGGGTTT